CTCAGTTATTTAAACTCAGTTATTGTTTTAAAAAATTCCTTAAATTACACACAATGCCCATTTCTTTCTCTTTTTCTGCTTTCTGGAAGGTGTCAGATAAATACATAGTGACTAGTCTAGGTTCTGGAGTGAAATGTTTATTTAGCCTGAGATACAGATATTGCCTCATAAACCACAATCACCTCTGTGTTATTATAAAAATGAAAGGTACAGTATTTAGCTGTGTCTAATGATCATCAAAAAAGGGTCATAAAAGCCATAGTTCACATGAAGGGCTACCATTTCAAGATAAATGGCCATTACTGAGCTGCAGTGCCTTGGCTCCTTCCCAGAGGGTATATCAGGGTTAAAGAGAAGAGATCATTATCTGTTATGTTAAACCTTTTTTCCTGTCTCAGTGACTGAAATTTCAAATCAAAGCAAGCATAATTCGTATTGTTTATATTCTCAGGTAGTGCACTTACTTTAAGTTACAACAACTAAATTACGTTTAACTAGATCATATTTGCATTAATATGATAAGGTCAGTTTTTTATGATAAAATTACTGTTTTGCAGTGACCAATATACGTTTATTGTCTCTACAATGTTATATTGAAATAAAAGGGACAGCGGCTGTCATTTCTTTGTCTGTAATAAATGTTGCTTAGTTTGCTGTTTCAAGTGTTTGCACCTACTAAGGCCTACAAATAGTAACACGCTCCTTTACAACAGTGTGCGTCCATATACTAACTTTCAATTTGCTTTGCAAATAAACACAAATTAAATTTAGCCCATAGAGTCTCTTATTTCTATTTCACTGCAGTGCCAATTTTCACTACCAGGGTTCCATTCTATCTCTTTGCATATCTGTAGAATAACTGCAAATGGCAGCCCTCTAACTTCCTCCCTCCTTCCCCCCACACTCTATAGCAACCTTTGTAGGTCAAACTTTATGGCACCAAGCATGCCGAGAACATGTCAGGATATATGTTTTTAATATGCACTAGCAGTCTGCCACCTCCTGCATAATACAGATGCTAGGTACAACTGTTTTTAATGTATATGAGCATTATGCCTTTTTACATTGTGGTATTGTTAGTAAGCTACATTCCTAGAAATGCTATCAGGTTCGTGACAAATACTTACAAGTAAGAGCACTTATATGCACAAAATGTGTTTTAATATATTTTATTTGTTATGCCTTCCCCTCATAATATATATTTTTAAAATACTGCAACAAAAGCTACATTTTTAAATCATGAACTTGGCAGTGAATGTGTTAAATCCACGTGTACCAGTTTAAAATGTATATTACAATAGGCGTACACTAATTAATTATTTCTGGGAAATGTTTGAAACTGGTCAACAAGTAGCACTGTCACCCTGTACTTACCTTTCTCCAGTCGTTTCCTCTTCTCTTCCATTATCCAAATATAAATTTAATTTCTTCTTATTTATTTGTTTCTGTTTAAACACATAAAACAAAGTAGAGAACTACTCTGTCTTCCATAATTTCCTATGCCTGACATTTCTTGACAAAGGGTCGAGCTTAACTAAGCTCCACTTCCTTTGTCAAGTAAGTTTCCCAGAATCCTCACCTTTTCATCCAGTCTTTCTTCAGTAGCTTTGCAAGATCTTCTCTCATCTGACAACTGGAGTCCTGTGGGCATGATCGGGAATTTAATCGTTGGGAAGGAGTGTGGGCAAAAGAGGACGATCCATTGATTGTCACTGCCAGGACTAAGAAGATGTCTGTGCTATGGTAAAATATTTGGGGCCAGAAAAAAAAGGTAAAATGGGGGGGGCAAGGGATATTGAACTGATTGGGGGCAGATTAGGGTAGTCTAGAGAGGACTTTAAAAAAAATCAAGTGTGGGCATGATAGCGAAGCGTTAATGTAGACTTGCTACAAAAAACTTTGATCCAGAAACATTAAGCATTATCTACAGGTTGATAAAGAACATTGTTCAGCATGTTTTACCTATTGAAATCAATCTCTGTAGTTTGGACATTTACATAAATAACCCTATTTTACTTCTTTATTACTGCCTGAGTTATAAACATGTTACAAAATACTAAATGAGTATTCAATCATGAAGAGGAGAAAACATTATCACTTTCAATTCAAAGCTATTTTTCATCATTTCCTTTGGGTTTCTTGATTTGATGATATTTGACTGGATGATCTGTGTGTGGATAGTTATATCCCAGTGGAGTATAGTAGTTTTCTTCATTATGTTATTTAATTGAATGTCTGGGTAGTTACTTCTGAAATGCTCTTTTTTCTAGTTAACACACAGAGTACCAAGCAGGCATGCAATGCATTGCTTGCAAGCCCTTCTGTTCATATACTCTAACTGATTTTTATTCATGTTCTGTTGATTTCCTTTTCACGCTCATGTGTGTATATATAATACTCACATGCATTCTTCAGTTTTACAAATTCAGTTTGTTTACTGACATAGAAAGCACAAGGAAAATATTCCCATATGATACTGTAGACTGTCTGTGAGTGCACCATACAAGTTTATTTTTCTATTGCAGACGTGCCCAATACGTAGGTCCCCAGATGTTGCAGAACTACAACTCCCATGATGCTTTGCATGTCTTTAGAATGACAAAGAATCATGGAAGTTGTAGTTTTAAAACTTCTGACGAGCTACCTGGTCTATAGCTGCTTACCCAAGAGATGTTTATATTTTCATGGTATTGAATGCACTACCGCCTATCCTAATTAATTTAGAAACTACCATAAAGGTGTTTATTTTATTTTTCTCTGCCAAACTATCTTGATCATTTGTTTCATTATTTTTCTAATCAACTAACTGAACAGAATACAGGAGCTGGTATGCTATAGAATGCCTAATGCCAGACGTAATGATGGGCAGTCAAACACTGTGCGTGCCAAACTACCGTTACACCTGTAAAGTTTGTATACTTTTATATTAATAGTAGACGAAGAAGTGATATTCAGAAGCATGTTTACTTAAAAATCCTTATTTTTTTTTAAGAACCACTCTATGTTTAAAATGTTATATTTCATAATTTAACATAGAATGTCCAGTTGTCCTTAATTTTGAGGAATGTTATTTAATAGCCAAGCATAAACATCAAACCCTAACATTCCATTATCTTAGCAGAAGACATGATGACTTATAATGGAATCTCAAAAACCTATTCAGTAGGGCTATATATATCCCCTAGAAAAAGCATAGGTGTATTTGAGTTTTTAGATCTAGAAGCAAAAAATGCTGCCTTGCTTATGAGCAAAAACACCTCGGTGGTATAGCTCATTAGCATAATTGTAACCGCATTTGCATAATTTTCCAGCATGTTTTGTGCATGAATATCATTAAGGTGTGACTGTCTTAATTAATATATGCATGTTTCTACGGGGCTACCACTGTCACACTCTGGCGGTAAACTGATGACGGGTTAAGGTAGAGGTCACTTAATCCAAGCACAGTGAAAATTCACACAATGAACATTTCTAAGTTTGATAACCAAGTTTTTTTTCCCCCAATGCATTTAATAAAAAAAATAACAGTAACAAGAAAATAATCCTAGTGCTGTGTTGTTTGGTGGTACCGATGAACTGAACATGGTGTGTGTTAGACAATGACGAGAACCTGTTCGTGGTATGTTAATCAAACCTCACTGACTAACACTTCTGGACATTGCTAATGACCACTGGCAGTGGACTCCTTCTGCATATAGATTTGTCAATCTGCTCTTTAAGAGTCCTGCAATAGTGTCAGATGCTTTGCCACTTTGTCCTCTCAATGTGATAGGAAGCACGCTGAAGTCAGCAGGCTAAGGCCAGGAAAATGCATCTGAAGGTAATTAATAACAATCAAGGGTTTTGTGAAACTGCTGACTGCAGCTGTAATGAACTGGGCTCAAGTCATTGCTTTGCAAATAAAAAAAAGCGTTTATGAAGCGTAGCAGTGAGCTGGCTTCTTCTATTTTCCAACTTAATATTTAATGTTGCAGAAAAATATAAATAACATTCGCAAATCAGATGTGTTCGTGGCAAGATGCTCTAGATGAAAGATGTCTTAATGATGCCAAGCATAATGTCTAATCTCAGAAAAAAAATGTAATTGGCCAATGGGTTTACTAAGGTTTGAGGTGTTTCACTGTGAACAAGTGATTTCAAAACATTAGTCTTTGAAGTGTATTAACTAACAACTCTCCACAACTTAGTATAGGAGACCACATACACCCATGTATGCATGTATTTCATATAGCTCTAGTACTTAAACTTAAAGGAACACTATGTCGTTAGGAATACAAACCTAATATTTCTGTCCCTAGTTAGATTCACTTCTCCCCCCCCCACTAAAACACCCACTAAACTCTAAAAAAACTGAAATAAAAACACAAAACATTTTTTATTATCTTTCTAAAGATCCGTGTCTCCCTCAGCGCTGTTCACCCTATGATGTTTTTGTGGAGGAATCACCTCCTTCGCCGTTGGCCAATGCAGTACTCAAGAGGAGCACAATGTCAATGCTTTCCTATGAGCTGCAATGTCACATGACCAAGTGCAACAGAAGTACCTCTAGTGGCTGTCAGGAAGGCAGTCTCTAGAGGTGTCTTTAACCCTGTAATGGAAGCACTGTAGTTTGTACAAAATTGCAATGTTTTACATAGCAGCGTTAAAATGACATAACCACTGCACCAAAACCTCTTCTATTCTGCTAATATTACTCTATACTGCTGTTACATCTCCAGCAGTGATCATTCACAATACAAAAATGGTACAAAACATACAATCGTCTGAGGTATAACCAAGGTACTCTACAATCTGATAATCTGATAATTAGCCTATGCAAAAAAAAACCCCTGCTATTACCTGTTTATTTGGAATATACAATGGATAGCTTCATTGCAAACAAACAAGATCAATAAATATAAAACACTTTGGTCTCTTGATCATTATGTTAATTGATTCTACGTTCTATGGATAATCCCCCTTTTCAAGCTAAGTTGAAACTTTATATATATTAAAACTTGTCAGAGCAGAAATGTATCAATACCTGTCACAATAGGGTATGACTGTGGTCCAGGAACTGTTCCTCCTATATCTGCCGAGGATGGACTTGTTAGACTGGATTTCATTTCATCCAAACCACCAGTTAACGATGCCATGGAGTATTCAGATGTCTAGAACAAAATAAGTGAATAAATAAATACAAATGCTTAAATAACATAAACTTCATATATATTCTACAAGAATTTCAAAAAACTGCAGATTTCTTGGTATCATCTTATTTCCAGTTTAGCAGTGGTTTTATGTATATAGTGCTAGTAACTGTAGATAGATAGTACAGTAAGTGCTTTAGAGACACACATTTTTAATTGTGAATACAATGTATAGTCATTGATTTGGAAATCAAGTCCCTTTTTATAAATAACCACTTGAAACCATTTGGTTTTTCTTAATATTTGGATTAGTAAAGCCAATGTATTTCTTCTCTGGAAAAAAATTACAAAAAATTTAACAGAACTATTTCTCCAGGCTTAATATTCCATGACATTAAAGTGAAAATGTCACGTTCTGGCGCCTTTGCAAAAAAAGAACCCCAATGGTGAGTTTGCTGCTTGCAATGCTGTGACCACCTGGTGCATGGAAAGGTGAGTTTTACTTACCCAAATAAGTCCCTCGTGGATGCTGCCATCTTCGTCAGTGGGATAATTTTCGCCTCCTCATGTTTTATCTGCCATGAGCCAATATCAGTGATGTTCTCTCACACAAGTGAGAGTACAGCCACCATAAGCCTCCATAAGCCTCATAGAATGAAACTAGTAACAACTGAGTACTTGACAAAGGTTAACAGCTTTTTTTGTCAAGTTTTATCAAGTATAGTAAACATATATAAGACAAAGAAGTCCCTACCCCATCTTATATTAAAGTTTTACTGAGTTTAGTAAAATCCCAATGCATTCTTTATGAGCATTCCACAAAGATTTTTTTTCTTTATGAAATGCTTGAGGTTTTGGGGTTTTTTTTTGGGGGGGGGGTTGGGAGGGAGGGTGACAGTGCCATTTAAAGTTTTAGTTGATTTTTTTTTGTGGGGGCAGGGGTTAGGGAAACTTAAAAACAGGGATATTATTATTTATCTATCTTGTGCAGCATCACACATCTCTGGTGTAAACATATATATGAACAATGCATATATGCCAAAAAGTTTTCAGTGGTGAGTTTTTATTTATAGCACTGCATATTTTGTGTTCCTGTACAATGGATTTATCAAACAAAGAAAGTGTGATAAGCAAGGTGAATGGAAACAAGAAGTGAGGAGGGCCCTACACAAGCATACTTGTATGAGAATAACTGTTATTGTCCTGGTAGTGCTCACAAACCCATCATTCCTAGTTTGATACCGAAAAATTGGGGATAATCTGCTAAATCAATGACAAGAACAATACATAGCGCATAACTGTGTATATGAATAAACCAAGTATACGGCGAACTTCCGGGTTTCGGCGGTGGAACGCATGGTGGAACGCATATGGGATTGACGGGCGCACAGGATGCCGTCATAGACGCCGGACGCCGGACTGAAAATTTAAACACCTGGATTGAATGAAGAATTATGTGGACATTGGGGTGGAGGAGGAAAGGGATTTTTTATTGTTTATTTGTATGCTGTCATTTCTGGTCACTGAAGTCCCTGAGGAAGTCCTATACACGGACGAAACACGTAGGACCCCTGGTGGTGACAGTGAGACTACATCTATTGTTTTATATTTTGATGTAAGTTATTAAATTATTTTTTCTACATTTTTAAATGTGCACTACAATTTTATTGTTTTTTCTTTGAGCACACACCTTTCAGCCAATCCATGAGATATTGAATAGAGATGGAAGAATTATTTCTGGAAAGGCATTTATGCTGAAAAAAGAATTTATTCTAAAGGCTTTCTAATTCAGCAAGAGTGTGAGTGGCCATTTGTGAATTGTACACTTGGTTTATTCATAGTTATGCGCTATGTATTGTTCTTGTCATTGATTTAGCAGATTATCCCCTATTTTTCTGTATACCTTCTATTGAAGACAAGAGGAAGTCTTTGGGGAAGTCTTACCTGGTTCAGGGAGGTTTTTTTCTGCTAATTATTTACCGAGCACTTATTGCACTGTGGTTTGTGCACACATATATTGTTTTTTTATTCCTAGTTTGATAACCTGATTACTATGGAACTGGGTAAAAGTAGAATCTTTTTGCCAGCTGCTAATATGGTTAAATCAGGGAGTGTGGGCTTTAGGCCATTGAAGGGGAGCTAAAGAGGTTCTGGTTCTCAAGAAATGGTAGTAGAGTCATGAGCAGTGCCCATCGGACCCCAGGTTAGAAGTCAAACTGTTCCAAAATGGTTTAATTCATTTCAATGGGTGCCCCAAGGCACTCTTGCAACCATAACCACTTCACTTGCTAAATCGCTCCCTCTTTGTCTGCCATTTGAATTCGCACAAAACCGAGAATATCAGGGTTATTCCCTAATGTCAGCTATGCTTTCAGTTTGGATACTCTGGCCTTGACTTCTCGCAAATGTTAAGACTAAAGATGTATCCATAAGAAATAAAAACCATTGATGGAAGTATTCATAAGTATCCTGTACAACTGCCACAATCTTCTAGAGATTGTGCATGAAATCTTACTTACGGTATGCTGCAGGTTTGGACAGAGAAAATGTATCCCTGCAAGATTGTCAACTCAGCTTTTTGGGGCTTGGATAATCAGCCGCCCAATTGTGTGTTTACTGTAATTTGTACTATATATTACACAGACATAGATATATAGTAAATATATAATACCACATATTATATTTACTATGCTCCTGGAAGGAGCATAATGCAGTTAGTAGTTTCTCATTTCAGTTTACATTCTTTCTTAATGGAAAAAAAAGCAGATTGATGATTGAAGCAGGCTGAACGTGGCATTTCATTCAGATTGTGCTGTGGAATATTATGCATTTGTTACAGCTCTTTTCTACAGTTGATCCATTCACCACAGGGTATCTGTAAGCCTCCCTCAGTCTTCATTACCAGAACCTGGCCAACTACAGCATGTACTCTGTGTGAATCAGGCATATTGCTAGCACTACACGGCCTTTGTAATATCATCCCATTTTAAAAATGTATCTTAAATAACAATGGTATGTCTATTGAAACATACACGGTTGTAGAGCTATTCATCCATATCTTTACAAGAAAACAATAAATATACTTCAAGTTGTGTTTTAGATTATTTGTTTTATATTATTGATTAATTCTAAAAGCTAAGAAAACATGGATATTTACACTTAAAAGGAATCAAATGGTGGTGTAATCATACAAATAATAAACATACACAAAAACACACACACATAGCACAAAGTTAACAAAGTCATGGATACATTATATTAAAATGTGCAAGCTCAAGAAGCAGGGGTTTACTTGGCATAATGTTAAATAAATGTTTTTGCTTAGAAATTATTGTAAAAATAATATTAATTTTATTCTGGAACAAATATTCTAAAATATTATTTGAATATAGATCTGTTTATCCATCTATCCATTTATCCATCTATCTATCCATCTAGCTATCCATCTATCCATCTATCTCTATCTGTGTGTGCGCGCGCATGGGGGTGGTGGAGGAGAGCTAGTCTATCTACCTATCTCAGTCATACTACATCAATACTCTATTATAATCAATTAAATGTAGATGTAATGTCATAAAGAGTACACAACTTGTTTATGTTATAAAGAATGGAGGATTAGTAACAAAAACAGCAAGTAATGGCAAATCAAGAAGAAATTCACCATTTCGTTTTTTGGTGTGTTTTTTTGCAACTCTAACAATATAAGCCTGGATATTGCAATTCTGATTTCAATTCACTACAAATTAACATTTAGTGGATACATCTTGAAATAATACTGGCGTCTACAAAGCAAGATTAAAAAAATGGATTAATGGGTTAATCAAGAAAAATATAATTTCAATTACCATACTGTTAGACAGAAACGTGGTATCCCAAATGGCAATATAAGATAATGTACAGATCACCCAGCAAGTAAAATACGGACTGTCAATCTCAAATTAATTCCATTCAATTAAACTCTTTTAATAATATAATAAAAAATATACCCAGTAGTCTATTAATACGCCCTGGGTTTCCCCAAGCCTGTTTTACTATTTAACATCATGCAAATTCCATATTCAATTTGCTGTCTTTGCAAAAAAAAAAAAAAAGAAAAGCTAAATGTTATAATAAAAAGCTGTTTCATTTCATTTAAAAGTGAAAAGATACACACACTAGTTTACAAAAAAAAATCTATCAGCAGTATCTTGGATTTTTCTATGTTTGTTAATCACTGGTTAATATTTGCTATTGCCTTCTGTTAGGTTAAGTAACAGATCTGGTTGAATTGGGGAAAAAGGTTAATAGTAGCACACTAGATCTTAATGTAGTGGTTTTGGTGCTTAGATTCTCCTTGCACTCTGACAAATGTAAACACTGCTGTTTGTGATTAAATGCCATTTTTTACGTTTGTCACTCAGTATGTCTCAAGTGGCTGTCAGTCAGACATTCATCAATCAGATAACTACTAGAGGCAATAATTGAAAGTCTTCAGGTTCTGCCTCTGAAAAGAAAAAAAATAAACTTCTGATTGGCTGAGTGTGGCAACTGCTGTGCATGCCAAGTAGGTCACAAGTGATTTTCTGAGAAGCTTTGGATTAGCTAGAGATAATATCTCAGGGTGATCTCATAAGGGCAAAAATGGCTGCACCGCAGAGACCCGGTTTCTGGATAAAAGATGAATTTCAGCAGTTAAACAGTGGCTATTATCTAACGAGAGAGAGGGACAATCCAACTTCATAAATATATATATATGAATGTGACAGTAGTCACCTTCACTGGGAGCATAAGACTGACACTTCATGTAGGTCCCAGATGACTCTTGCTTAAGTCACCCTGTGCCTATTATAGGTGCAGAGTGTACAGGGAGTGCAGAATTATTAGGCAAGTTGTATTTTTGAGGATTAATTTTATTATTGAACAACAACCATGTTCTCAATGAACCCAAAAAACTCATTAATATCAAAGCTGAATATTTTTGGAAGTAGTTTTTAGTTTGTTTTTAGTTATAGCTATGTTAGGGGGATATCTGTGTGTGCATGTGACTATTACTGTGCATAATTATTAGGCAACTTAACAAAAAACAAATATATACCCATTTCAATTATTTATTACCAGTGAAACCAATATAACATCTCAACATTCACAAATATACATTTCTGACATTCAAAAACAAAACAAAAACAAATCAGTGACCAATATAGCCACCTTTCTTTGCAAGGACACTCAAAAGCCTGCCATCCATGGATTCTGTCAGTGTTTTGATCTGTTCACCATCAACATTGCGTGCAGCAGCAACCACAGCCTCCCAGACACTGTTCAGAGAGGTGTACTGTTTTTCCTCCTTGTAAATCTCACATTTGATGATGGACCACAGGTTCTCAATGGGGTTCAGATCAGGTGAACAAGGAGGCCATGTCATTAGATTTCTTCTTTTATACCCTTTCTTGCCAGCCACGCTGTGGAGTACTTGGACGCGTGTGATGGAGCATTGTCCTGCATGAAAATCGTGTTTTTCTTGAAGGATGCAGACTTCTTCCTGTACCACTTCTTGAAGAAGGTGTCTTCCAGGAACTGGCAGTAGGACTGGGAGTTGAGCTTGACTCCATCCTCAACCCGAAAAGGCCCCACAAGCTCATCTTTGATGATACCAGCCCAAACCAGTACTCCACCTCCACCTTGCTGGCGTCTGAGTCGGACTGGAGCTCTCTGCCCTTTACCAATCCAGCCACGGGCCCATCCATCTGGCCCATCAAGACTCACTCTCATTTCATCAGTCCATAAAACCCTAGAAAAATCAGTCTTGAGATATTTCTTGGCCCAGTCTTGACGTTTCAGCTTGTGTGTCTTGTTCAGTGGTGGTCATCTTTCAGCCTTTCTTACCTTGGCCATGTCTCTGAGTATTGCACACCTTGTGCTTTTGGGCACTCCAGTGATGTTGCAGCTCTGAAATATGGCCAAACTGGTGGCAAGTGGCATCGTGGCAGCTGCACGCTTGACTTTTCTCAGTTCATGGGCAGTTATTTTGCGCCTTGGTTTTTCCACACGCTTCTTGCGACCCTGTTGACTATTTTGAATGAAACGCTTGATTGTTCGATGATCACGCTTCAGAAGCTTTGCAATTTTAAGAGTGCTGCATCCCTCTGCAAGATATCTCACTATTTTTGACTTTTCTGAGCCTGTCAAGTCCTTCTTTGACCCATTTTGCCAAAGGAAAGGAAGTTGCCTAATAATTATGCACACCTGATATAGGGTGTTGATGTCATTAGACCACACCCCTTCTCATTACAGAGATGCACATCACCTAATATGCTTAATTGGTAGTAGGCTTTCGAGCCTATACAGCTTGGAGTAAGACAACATGCATAAAGAGGATGATGTGGTCAAAATACTAATTTGCCTAATAATTCTGCACTCCCTGTATATCATAATATTATTTGGGAAATGTCTTGTGCTGTACTCTGCCTGGCTGTTGGTCATGTGCAGCACCACCTGTTGGTTGTAACAATTATGTGCACCACTTAAATAGCAAGGAAAGTTAATTTGCATATTATGGTTTATGCAAGCAGGGAATGTATTTCTAGTTAGTCTTTGTCTTCCTTATAGCTTTATAAACATTGTAGTGTATTATTATGAGTGCCTCTATGATTTTGTTACATGTATTGAATTGAGTGTGTCACCATAAATTTAATGTAATGCAGATAGGGGATATTTGTGAGTATAAATAAAGTATTGTGTGGTAGTTCCATTGGGATCTGAGTACTGCATGGTTTGTTCAGGGAATCCAGTAACAGAGTTATCAAACCTGCTTGCTCTCTGCATTATATGCTGGTTCAAAGAATGTATCAAACAAGAGCTAGATCTGAGAGCTACAAATGCCTTTGTAAAGGCAGTAGTTGGAAGCAGGACAGGCAGAGGAGTCAATATCTGCCTGGTAGACAGAGAACAGGAAGAGGGGTCCATACCTGACAGGAAGAAACTGGATGGGTAAAGGGGCCAATACATGCCTTGGAGGACAAGCCCTTCCAAAGGCCAGCCCAGCTAGAGAAGTCTCACTAACGGTCTATGCTGGTAGACCTACATCCCTCATGGCTTTTCATACCAAAGAGTGTTCTTTTAATGTATGTAAAAACTAACATATTATGATGTTTATTTACATAACTGTGAACCAGGGAAAAGCCAATTGTCACAGCCAATACAGCCGAGCTATAAATCATGAAAAAAATTTAAATTCTTTGACATCATATTTGGCATTTTTAACTTACGTTAAGAGAAAGGAAGTGTACTTATGAAAGTGAGTGTATAAGCCCAGGTGGCAGTATTTGAGTGCAAGAACTCCACCTACACCCATGTTATCATGTTGTACATATGCAAATTTATATATGTTTCATATCCTTTATTAACCTCCCTGTGCTCAATACATTATAGGAGTCCTTAGTCATTTTGTTAGAATTTAGCTTAAAACTTACTTTATCTTTTATCTATTCTAGTTTAAAGTCACACTATAGTCATCAGAACAAAAACAGCTTAATGTTTTTGTTGTTGTTTTAGTGTTTACTGCCTGTCCCTGCAGGCTTTTTAATGTGAACACTGCCTTTTCAGAGAACTTTAGTGTCAGGAATACACGTTTGTGTCCGGACACTACAGGGAGTGCAGAATTATTAGGCAAATGAGTATTTTGACCACATCATCCTCTTTATGCATGTTGTCTTACTCCAAGCTGTATAGGCTCGAAAGCCTACTACCAATTAAGCATATTAGGTGATGTGCATCTCTGTAATGAGAAGGGGTGGTGGTCTAATGACATCAACACCCTATATCAGGTGTGCATAATTATTAGGCAACTTCCTTTCCTTTGGAAAAATGGGTCAAAAGAAGGACTTGACAGGCTCAGAAAAGTCAAAAATAGTGAGATATCTTGCAGAGGGATGCAGCACTCTTAAAATTGCAAAGCTTCTGAAGCGTGATCATCAACAATCAAGCGTTTCATTCAAAATAGTCAA